CCAGTTAACAGTTGAACTCCTGATCCTCAGTCGTTAGGTCCCTTAACAGATTTTCCCTTGAAGGTGAGTTCCTAGAAGAAGGCCCCCTTCAAAAGCTCCTAATTGGATTGGAAAAAGGTCACGACTCTTTGACAATGTTAAAGAATAGAGTTTGGTCAAAACATGTTTTTGAGATATCACAGACTGTCCCAAAGTTGAACACTTCAAACACTTTGAGTGTTGACTTGTGCTCAAGATGGCCCTATCAGTGCTAAGATGATCTATATCTAATTAGATTAGATATCTTCCTGTTTAAGTATACAATTAGATGGTGACATATTACTAGTCAGGTGGTTGTCTCATCAATTGGGAAAAGCTATGGGGAATCTCCATCACAAGGGAATATCCCCATCACACCTAGAACTACATATGACTATTCAGGTGATCATCAGTTGAGCTACTAACTTAACCACCCTTGACCCTAACCCTAACTCTAACCCCAGCACTCACTTGTGTAGTTCTGGTAGTTGACAAGAGGTAAGCTGGTGCTTGTCTTGGGAGTGGTTAACTCAGAGAGAGAGTAGAGTGAAGTAGACAGTGTGTGATCGAATAAGATCAGACTGCTGTACTATGCTGTATTGCTCTGGTATTTATATATGTGGGACCAGACCCTGGATACTACTGGTAGTACACCTAACACCTAGGATGACTGATGCTCATAATATGCTATTGGCTATCTAAGAATACCTAGCATGTGAACCATTGTCCTGTCCATGTATTTGGTCGGCAGTCTGATATATGATGATCACCTGAACAACCATGTGTGTCCCTAGTACAAATGGGGAAATCTTGTGTGAATGTATGATAGCCCATTTGCCATGCTTCTAATAAGCTGGACACCTGACTAGTAACATGTCACCATGCATTATGCTATCCTTATCTAGGTAGATATCTAGATAGATAAGATATAGATCATCTAGAACTCAAGATAAGATAGACGCCATGAGAATTCTGTGACAGCAGACTTGTTATACTCATCTACCTGTCTCCTACTTGCCAACTTATCCTCTAAGCTTACTGCTCTACAGACCAAGCCACCTAAAGCTGCCTCTGTCAACTTCCAACATCACAAGTGAGTGTTGGGGTTAGGGTTTTGTTTTGGTCAAGTGTCAGAGGAGATACTCTGACATCTATGCTGTATTGCTCTGGTATTTATACATGAGGGACCAGACTTCTAACACTACTGGTAGTACATCTAACACTTAGCTTGACTGATGCTCCTAATACACCATTGGCTATCTAAGAATACCTGACATGTAAACACTCTGCCTTGTGTTGAGTCAGTAGCTCAACTGATGATTACCTGAACAGCCAGATTGTCACAGTTTATTGAATATATTCCAGAATAAACGCACACCTATCTTATCTTATCAGACATGGATTAGATATAGATTAGATGCATGCTGGAGTATCTACGGAATAGTATAGAACCAGCTAGAAGGGTCTTGGACGAGGTTGTCAATCAGGTGACTGTTACAGCATCAGAAGGGGGTTCTTTTTCTTTTCCTAACTATTTGTTGTTGACCCTGTAACTGTATGACTGATCCCATCACTTGATGTGTTTCACCTACATCAGTGTTTCATATACATTGCATTTCACTTATATCATGTTTCACCTATATCATGTTTCACCTCTATCACATTTCATCTTCATTACTGATGCAACCCATTGAAACTGTTTCATGTACATCACTGATCCAACTCAGTGTTTTATACTTATTAAACCCTATTTGCCTTACTCTATTTAAGTAGCACTGCTTGCGCTACTGTACTTTA